TCTTTCTGTTATTTCATCGAAATGTAATTTTATAAAAACATACTCGAAATCTTTTTGATACAATTGAATTAATTCCTGGTTTCATAAGATTAAGAATAGCCATTTGATAATATTCTGATATTTGCATAGCTACATGAGCATTTACTGAAGGTGATCGTTGATCAAGTAAAGATTTTTCAAGTACAGCTTCATGTGCTTGTGCCTAGAAAATTATTTTCATTTATTGAAAATCAAACAAAAACAAAGAATTCTATTACCAAAAGTATATGAACTTGACATGTTAATAAATCTGGTGTTAAATCTGATGTATATGTTGTATATTGATCACGTACTTTTTCAAAACATGCAGCTGCACATCGAAAATAAGTACAAGCATTTTTAATACTCTAGAAAAAAAGAAAAAAGAATTTTTTTTTCTTCTAAATAAAATATAAATTTATTTTTTTTGTCTAATTTTTATACATCATGTGTTCTTCGTGGTTCATTAGCACCTAATCGTGAATACATTGCACCAAGATTATATAAAATACATGCTTCTTCAAATCGAATATCATTATATGTATTATCTTCTTTTTGAAAAGCATCTTCCCTTAATATTCAAAAAACGAAATTTTCTTTTTTTTATTCTATTGAAAATTTTACCATGTAAATCGAACAGCACATTCTGTATCAGGTAACATAGGAAAACGATTTCGTAATAATTGTAATTGACAATAATATCGTTTAAGTAATTGAATACCATTTTCATCTGCTGATGAATTAATTGTAGACTAAAAAATTCAATTGATTTTATTTTATTTGAATTAATAAATAAATAAATTTACTTGTCGAAGACGATTCATTTGTTCACATTCTTGAGAATATTTATTACCATTTTCTTGATAAGTAGATGTAATATACTAAAATTTATGTGAAAAAAAAAAACAAAATTTTATAAAATTTACAAAAATAAATTAAACATACATTAGGAATTTTTTCACATAAATCAACTGATTCAATAGATACTTTCGGATCAAAACCAATGGTAGATAGTCGAGGACAACCTTTAAAACAAATATTACAAAAAAAAAAAAAAAAAACGAAAATTTAAATATTAAATTTACCTTCCATATTGAAAAAATGAAATAAACTAAAAATGATAAATAATAGAATAGAATTATCTTATATTCACAATGACTTCTTACCAAAACAAGTCAATAATAATTCGAATAACTAAAAAATACAAGCATCTTCATAGTCTTCTTAATTAGTCATAAATATAAACAAAAATATCATTGGTTGATTTAGTAATCCTACTCAATGTGAATATATCAAAAGAAGGTGGCGTGACATGTTTGTTATGTTAAAAAAACAAAAAAATAAATCGAAACAA